TGTCAGACCGCAGCTCCGTAGGTCTCCTTTTTTTTAGTATTTTCATGCAAATTCTTCTGCTAGTTGGGGTAGAAATTGCATCTTTTTTATGAGTAATTGTTGTTGTTGTTGTTACGTGCCGTCGAGTCGGCCCTGACTCATAGCGACCCCTCCTTGGGTTTCCGAGGCAGTATCACTACGGAAGTAGGATTGCCTAACCTTCCTTCCGATATGAGAAATTAGGAGAAGCATAATATTTATCAGTAGTTTCAAATGCCTAGAGTTGGTCTCAGTTATACCTCAGGATACGTGTATGTGTGTGTGGTGTGTGTGTGTGTGTGTGTGTGTGTGTGTGTGGCATGAATGAGTGACTTGGTTGGTCTGTGTACTAGGTGGGGAACCCCTCCCACCTTCCTCCAGCAGGCCATGTCCTGACCCACAGCCTCCTTTCTAGGCTCCACGCCAGCCAGAGCTACCCAGCAGTCCTTTCCCATGCCTCTTTCTGAAGGAGATGCCCAATCCTTAAAAACCAACCATTCTGCTTCATCTGATTCAAAGGTAAATCCCCTCCCCCAAGCAGTATCCCCCTAGCTTGTGGTTCTCTCTCAAAAATGCAGTTTCTTTATTCCCTGATACCACTTTTAGGGTGGGAGTGGGAAGGAAGGAGACCTATTGAGTTACTCCAAGCTTCTGAGACTGTGAATTGAGCAGTCAACAAAATTGGGGACGGAGGAATGGCAGTACTTTAGTGAGTACAAACTTTTAATGAGGTTTTCCATTATTTGTGTTTAAATAAGAGCTGATAATTGACAGTCCCCCATCTAAAACATAAGGAGCTCTGGTGGCACAGTGGTTAAGGCATTTGGCTGCTAACCAAAAGGTCAGTGGTTTGAACCTACCAGCTGCTCTGCAGGAGAAAGATGAGGCAGTCTGCTTCTGTAAAGATTCGCAGCCTTGGAAACCCTATGGGGCAGTCCTCCTCTGACCTATAGGGTTGCAATTAGTCAGAACCATGTTTGGTTATATGAACCTATACATCCCGGGAATCTGGAGGCCCAGCATAGAGACCCCAGATTCAAACAGGTTCAATAGAGACACTTTTATTAAGACTTGGACAGGACAAGGACAGTCATCTAGGATGAGGGAAACCCATCAGCATGTAGACAGCATATATATAAACTCTCACTCACTGCCAACGAGTTGATTCTGACTCATAGCGAACCCTCCTTGGTTTTCTGAGGTGGTATCTCTACAGAAGTTGATTGCCCAGTCTTCCTTCTAAGGAGTGGCTCGTGGGTTTGAACTGCCAGCCTTTTGGTTATCACTCAAATGCCTTAGGCACTATGCCACCGAGCTCCTATGCCACCAGAGCTCCCTAACATGGCCAAATGGAATCCACTGAGTCACAGCCGTGGGGCTAATTGTATGTGATTGAAAACAAAGGGAATCATCACAGAACCATGATTGGTGGTAGATAGATTCTTCACTGCTGCAGGTGGGACTACAGAAATGGGGGTGGGGACCATGAATGGGATATATACATAATTGAAGGTAAAAAAAAAGGGTTATAAGATGTGTGGATCATAACAAATTATGGATAACACTGAGAAGAATGGAAATTCCAGAGCACCTAATTGTGCTCATGAGGAACCAGAAGGCTGTTGGAGATACTGCATGGTTTAAAATCAGGAAGGGAGTGCATCAGGGCTGTATCCTTTCACCATACTTATTCAGTTTGTATGCTGAGCAAATAATCTGAGAGAACTGGACTATATGAAGAAGAACATGGCATCAGGATTGGAGGAAGACTCATTAACAACCTGTGATATACAGATGACACAACTTTGCTTGCTAAAAGTGAGGATGACTTGAAGCACATGCTGGTGAAAATTAAAGACTACAGTCTGCAGTATGGATTACACCTTAACATAAAGAAAACAAAAATCCTCACAACTGGACCAGTAATCACCATCATGATAAATGGAGAGAAGATTGAAGTTGTCAAAGATTTCGTATTACTTGGATCCACAATCAACTCTAATGGAAGTAGCAGTCAAGACATGAGATGATGTATTGCACTGGGCAAATCTGCTGCAAAAAATCTCTTTCAAGTGCTGAAGAGCAGAGATGTCTCCTTGAAGACTAAGGTGTGCCTAACCCATATTTTCAGTCACCTCATATGCATGTGAGAGCTGCACAATAAATAAGACTGAAGAAGAGTTGACACTTTTGAGTTGTGGTATTGGTGAAGAATACTAAAAGTACCATGGATTGCTAGAAGAACTAACAAATCTGTCCTAGATGAAGTACAGCTGGAATGCTCCTTGAAAGCGAAGAGTGGCCAGACTTGTCTCACCTACTTTGGTCATGTTGTCAGAAGGGACCATTCCCTGAAGAAGGATATCATGCTTGGTAAAGTGGAGGGTCAACGAAAGAGGGCAAGGCCCTCAACAAGATGGATTGACACAGTGACTGCAACGATGGGCTCAGATATAGCAGGGATTGTGAGTCTGGCACAGGACTGGGCAGTGTTTTGTTCTGTTGTACATAGGATTGCTATGAGTCGGAGACGACTCAATGGCATCTAACAACACCACCAACAGGATTAGTTCTGGGCCTTGATTGCCTAGCTAGGTGGTGGTCCGGCTATGACTCATTACCATGAGTCCTGAGTCAGAGCCACAAGGTAGCTACAAAACAATATCAGGACCCCAGCCTTAATTTAGGAATTCTGGTAGTGTAGAGCTCTGGTAGCATAGTGGCTAAGACACTTGCCTGCTAACCAGACAGCTGGCGGTTCAAACCCACCAGCCACTCCTCGGAA